GCTGGTCTTCAAATCTGGCAAGATTTATTTTTTGTGATTTAGCCATGAGAACATAAAAGGCCAATTTCTCCACTTTTGAACTAATAGTACATGGTGTTACTGCTGAGGAAAATGCCCATTGATGTGTGTCATGATAAGTAATAATGGTAAACAATAGGAAAGGAAAATAAAACATCAAAAATAAAATTTTGCTCAAAAAGTAAAAACTTACAATTAAGAATATAAATTAAGAAGATTTTCAAGATTATTTGATGAAAAATTCAAAGGTATTTCCATTTTTTCAACTTTTAATATTAAACATTTCATTGCATAATACATTGATAATAATTGAACTTGAAATATTCAGGGTCTGAGTGCAAATAACTTTGTTTTAATAAAATATTTTAATTAAAGATTTGTTATTTTTTATCAGTGTCATTCTTTGTATATAATATATTTGTAATCTTTAACAAACTCTTACCAATTCTTGTGACAATATGTTAAGAAAGCTCAGAGTTATTGTAAGTTTTGTTGAACTGTGTATCATTTTCCATACAATAAGTACCCATATGGGTTTAACCCCGTAACAATAACAAAGGTGGAAAGTCAACAAATAATATTAATTTTAATATATCTATTTTTTTTACTGAGAAAATTATTAGGGTCAAATGTATTTTGCTAGGTAGGGTCGGGAAACCAGAAACACAACATTTTGTTTTAGGCCTAATTACAAAAGAAATAATCATTTGAAATTAGACAAAAATTTCAAAAGGAACTTTCCATACAGTTAACATACTTAATAGCTGAATACTAGATAGTAATGAAATTGCAAAGAACACGTACCAGCTTTTCACTAATATGGTATATTTTTTATGGTTAAAATTTCATTACTTTGACAGCCTGGATACATAGTATATATATCTAATCAATACTCACTATTTTGCTGAATCAGTTAGTTGGTACTCCCTTCGTCTATCATAGCATTCCTGAATCCCAGGATCTGCCCATAAGGATTTAATTGCTTCTACATAAGGACTATCGAATGTTGTTACTGTTTCATAGTCTACAGAACGAATTAATTCAGCATTTTCCTAAAAAGTAAAATAATTCTTTCAATAACATATACTTACATAAAACAACTATATATATATATATATATATATATAAAGTCATAGTAACTCTTAACACTGTAAGTACAAGTATTTTATCAAAAATAATTATTTGTTACACAGTTCTCCAATTCATTATTTCCAATGATGTTCTTGTAATAAGAAAGTGTAAATTTGTACTTTTTTCAATTCAGCTTCAAGAAAGCATACATTTGCAATTCTTAATTTCAGTCACAAAAGGTATATACATGTAGACTAAAACATGCAACCTATTCTTCAAAAATCTTTATTGTATAAATATTAATTTCAGTATCTATCCTAATCAATTGCCGACATAAGTGAAAAATTTGCAATATATTACTACCATTACTGAAACAGTGATAATCCAGACATTAATACTGTAAAAAGTAACACCCATACAGAAGAAATGTCATCAGTTCATTAGGTCTTTTAACCTCAGTCAGGCATCTAAGGAACATTTCCGCTGTATTGACAGTAAAACAAAATCTCTGAATGATAGGATTCAAAGGAAGTTAAAAACTATACATCACAAACAGGACCCGATTTTAACAGTCGTCCAAGATGACTAGTACCCTGGAACGGACCCTTACTCAAACCAACATCGCAGTTTACTGTACACTTATCCATGCCCACACTACACATGTAATACTAACTCCGATTCTTGACCAAATTCATTGTATATTCTCCAAGGCTCTTCTGCTTATAGTTGCTGTCAAAGAAAGCTACCAAACCAACATACTGCAGCCAGTCTTGAACTTAAGAAGAACTTTTGTGGATCAACTTTCATCATCTTACCAATCTGACTGAAAATCTGAACTTGAAAACCATCACCAGACTTGAATACACCAGAATATCAAGGTTAGAAAACTAATTGCAACATGAAAATCTTGTAACATAAGTCCTGATAATGTTATTTTAGTGATCTTACATTAAGTGAAAAATGTCAAAATGCTTAATCAAAAGGTCTAAATTTTTCTCTACCAACCTGTAAACTAAGTTTCTCAATTTACTTTTTTTTTCATTTGAATGTATTTACAGAACTCTTAAATCCTTTCCTAATTTTAACAAAAATAACACACCAAATATAGAATGCCTTATCAAAACTAAATTTAAAAATGCAGCCTTGTCCTCCCCCTATAACTTCAACCACCTTAACAAAACCTTCTTCTATTATACAGGTTGAGTTTTCTGCCTTAAAAGAACTTGCTAGTAATTGAAATGCTGTTGTTATTCAGCCAGATAAAGGTACAGGTATTGTCATTTTAAACAGATCTGATTATGACTCCAAGACAGAAGACATTTCAAATGACAGAACAAAGTTTAAACCCCTCGATAATGATTGGCTAAAGCTTACTCTCAAGCATTAGGAAAGATATCTTCAAAATTGTAAACTCATCTCAGACATCACCTTTGCAGAACTTTATCATAGAGGTTCCCACCCTGATTTTATGTATGATTTACCGAAAATATACAAAAAATGGTTTACCCCATAGACCTATTCTATCTACTCTTGGTTCCCACACCTACAGACTTGAATATCTTGTACCTGCATTAAGCTCACTAATTAAGAATGAATTTACTGTTAAAGATTCTTTTTCCTTTGCTCAAGAGATATATATATACATTTCCTAATGCAGACCAATCTGTTATGGCTAGCTTTGATATTCAGTCCATATTCACTAACATCCCATTTGAGGAAACAATTAAAATAATTAGTAAACAGTTATTCCCTACCAAAAATGCTCTACATTCTAATTTTAACCAACAAAAATTCAAACAACTTCTAAAATTGGCCTTCAAAGACAATTACTTCATTTTTAATGGTCATCTTTATGACCAGATAAACAGAGTAGCAATGGAATCACCTCTAGGTTCAACCCTTGCAAATATGTATTTTTTTTTAATGTTATTACGAATATCAATGGTTGAATGGCTGGATAATTGCCCCCTTTATTACAAACCAGTATTATATAGAAGGTACGATGATGATGATACTTTTCTACTCTTTCACAGCACTGATCATGCCAAGAAGTTTTTAGAACACCTAAACTCACAACATCCATGTATAAACTTTACATGTGAGATGGAAGAAAACAATAACTTAGCTTTTTTAGACATTCAAATAAACAAAATAAACACTCTCTTTACCATAAGAAATCATTTAATGGCTTATACACTCGTTTCAACAGTTTCATACCAGACTCCTTCAAACATAACCTTGTTCTAAATAGAGTCTATAATATCTGTTCTGACTACTTCTGTCTTCACCCAGTTATTTCAAAAATTCATAATATATTACAAAGTAATGGTTATCCCCTTTAATATCCTACACTCTATCACAACGAAAATTTTCAACAAATAAAATAAAACCTACTAACAAGTCACATACTGTCTCAAAATATGCACTAGTTCTTATCATTTCTTTCACTAGCAAATAAAGTTTTAAACTCAAATTCAAAAAATAATCAAAACATATTATCCACAAATTAAGCTACAATTAGTATTTACATCAACATTTAGAATTAAAAATATGTTTAAAACCAAAGACACTACCCATTCCTATGCACCTGTGAGTCGTACATAAATACACTTTTGGTAGAACTACACGTCATCTACAAATACATGCACACGAGCACATGGGAATTTCAACAAGAAGCAAATATAAGCTAATTAATCCACCTGAGTCTTGTATCCAATTGCATAGTGAGAATAATAACCACCACATACTTCTAGAAAACTTTAATATTCTAGACTCCAAAACCACAGATTATGAACTCTATTAAAGAAAGCTTCTCCATTTTCAATGATTACCCAACATTATATAATAAAATCAATTCCTCACTGTTGTCATTAATGTAATCAATTCTAGATTCTCAGTATTTTTATTTGATATTTATTATTATTTTAAAGATACAGTGTTTATACTTGTATTTAAGCCTTTCTCTATAATAGTTTGTCTTAACAATGTTATTTATTAAACATGTGTATGCTGCATGTTTTATTGTACATTCCATTATATTGTTACTGTTTAAGTCTGTTCTTTCTAAACTTCCAATTGAATACGAAAACTCACTCAATGCTAATATTTTTTTTTGTAATTCAAATATTGTGAACTTTTTCTTTTGAGATATTAACACTGATGATAGAAATTAAGGAAATTCAGAAACGTCCATATTAATGATGTTTTTTGGTGTTACTGTGTTAATATTTATTATAAGTTCCCTAACTATGAACTCAAAAATTTGAACACCCACAAAAATATTTTTGGTCCATTGTTTGTTTAAAAAAGATTGTACTTTTTACAAGAGAAATGTTGGTACAATCTGCCAAAATTGGCTGAAAATGTTAGGAAAAGTTTGCTTTTGTGATTGGCTAATATGCCGTTTTAATCAATAAAATTTCTATCATGGACAAGCTGCACTTCTGTGCTGCTTTATGAATGTAAATATTTTACAGAGGTTCTACTAAGTGTGAATGGCTATGAGTGGTAACACAGTACAGTGAATAGAGTTCAGTTAGTTACATTACCATACAGTATATTTCTCGATGTTTGTATGCATATATATATATGGGCGGGAGGGAATTTGTAACGAAAAAACACGAATCTTTAGTGAGATTAATTTCTAGTATAGATGCTTACGACAATAAAACTAACATGGTTGTCTCAGCTTCTTACCAATAAACCTTTGGTAGGAACTAAAACTTACAATTTTCATTGTTAATCATTACAATTGAAACACCAACTCCCTTTTGATTATGCATATATAGGCCTAAGGCTAACATTAGAAAGACACAACTAATAGACTCTAGGAAATATAAAAGACCTAGGTACCATGAGAAAAGCAGGAAAATCCACAAATTAAACAGAAAATAATAAGATAACTGCAAAATAAATTTTATGAATTTTTTTAAAGTATGAAACAGAATAACAATAAATAAAACAAGGCTAACTTTGCCTCTCTCCATGTCAATACAAACCATGAGTATGAATGACAATACATATCAGCAGTGTGTATATGTGTGTGCAAGTGCAGCACTCAGGCATTGTGTACCTAGTACAGTATAGTAGTATGTGTGAGAGTTCCGATGCAAGTCTAGTCTTACTACAGGCTGTACTTTACTGTACTTAGAGGGCAGGCCAAACTGGTTAGGATGAAAACACTGAACGTTAATTGCCAAGATTGCTGTTCTGTTTAAAAGTTTGACAGGTCATTGACTATTTGTTTCCTCAAGATACTATGATTTGGGCTTATTTTTCCAATGCAAAGAAACTTCCTGGGAAATAAGACAAAATTGCCAACTAAATATTAATTGTACTTTTTGGAAATAAATAAGATATAAAAACATCAAAACTATTGTAAACGGGTCTTTGTACATCAGTATTGTCGTACTTAGATCTTTTTTTTTCTCGAATAACCAATACAGCCTTCCTAACAACCTTGAAATTTTCTTAAAATCAAGCTCTGACAAAAAGAGATATGTATATGAACAACATAATTTCACACATACACACACACAACAAGTCTTAAATAAAAAAGAAAATGTAAAATATAATTATCCCCCCCAAAAAAAGGCCTGGACTAATTAAAAACATTTTTAGTATTAAGTTTGCAGCTGTTTCACATGTAATGTGTGTGCAAGTTTTAAATATACATGTTTTAAAAGAAAGGATATAAAATAGTCTATATGAGATCTAATAAACACCTACATTAGCATAACGAGGATAAATAGCTTTCAACAAAGGCAGCTTTATGACCCCAATCATTTTCAATCTTATTACTTACAATTATTTATGTATCATAATTTTCATGTAATATGTACCATTTTTATGTTCTCATTTATATACATATTATTGGTATTGGATTTTTCATTTCTTAAATTTCTTATTACATTTTACCCTTCATGTTCTTGTATCATTAAGCACTCCTGTTGATAAATCTCTCAATCCTTCTGGACATTACTTTTCCACAAACCCATATTATTATAAGTTGTTCTTATTTCAAAACTTCTCTTTCTTTTTGTCTCCCATTACTGTATGTAGCAGATATAGTGTGATTTATATATTATTACTTATTCTCCTTTCCTTTCACTCACAAGTTCTTAGAATAACATATCATAATGCTATTTCACAAGTCAGCCTGTAATTTAACACTGGTCAATAACGTGAACAAATGTGGTTGAATGATGTTGCAAAGACATTGTTCAACAAATAACCCACACATTAATAAATCTTCTGACAAAAACAAAAGGTAATAAAGGTAATGGCCTCATCCAAAATATTCATATATCAGCAACGTGACAGACTCGAGTGTGAACACATTCAGAATAAGGCCAAAGGTAAAGAAACTGCAGCAAAAATATGGCTTAAAGAATGAGTACTACCCTTGTTTCATTTTCTACATTTCTAGCAGTATTAAACCTTGGAACAACTTGTAAATTAAGACTATACTTCTGTTTTTGCAACTTAGGGGTTTTACAGCCTATTAAGCACACAGTAAAAAAAATCTCACAACACCAAGTGCAATGCAAAACAACATAAAAAAAAAGAAGCAAAAGTGTTACAAACTTTATGAAAATGGGTTTCCGTTTCAACCACATAACCAAATGATTGAAGTGGCAATTGTAATGTTATGAGCAGCAGTACTGACTCTGTAACTGAGCCTACCAATCCCGTGTCAGCCTGCATGTCAGACTCAATACTTCTACAAATTCCACAAGCTTCAAGCAGTATAGGTATGCTAGCTGACAGTATTCAAGCTTGGATAAAATAAATTTTGAAACTGAAAGTCCTTTTACTTTGTATACTAATTATCTATACAAAAGGCACGGTAATTTAACTTTGAAAAGGATTGTTATTAATCTTTAAATATTCAAATTGTGTTTGATTTCAACTACAGGCTGTTTGAAAATGACCTTGAGAAATCCAAAGTATATATAAAAAAAGAAGATATAATATTGGAGTATTTAAAGCAAATGGAAAAAATATGTAAAAGGAAATATTAATGCCACATCCAACAGAAAGAGAGAAAGTTAATGCTACATACTTCTCACAAGAGGAATTGGACACAACTATTTTCACATTTAGGTAAAAGAAGAAAACTCCAATTTCATAAAAACACCAAAATTAACTATACTTAATATTTACTCCAAATCCATAAGGTCTTTCAGGAAAATCAAGGAATAAGAAATTAAAACAAGGTAAGCAAGATTTCTACTGATCACAACCAGCCAGAAGCATGTACAAGTTAACTGAAGTTGCCTCAAAATCCTGAAATGTAGAAAAATAAAAAGACAACAGGTACACAATATACAGAAGCAGTCTTCAACACTAGTTATTGAAGTAGAATTGTAAGCAAAATTATACAAAGAAAAGGAAATTGAGAAAAAGACTTGTACATCAAAACACTACCTAATAAACAGAAGGTTAAAAACGTAAAAGTGTTAAAGAATTAATTGTTTTGTCTACTAAGTCAAGTTGAGAGATAAATGGATCTTCACACTAAAACATATTGATGGAAAGGTAACCTTCAAAATTTTGTAAAAAAACATTTTAATAATTTCTTATTTTAATCATGCAGTAAAAACCTATTTTAAGAAAAGATAATATAATCTCTGTCAATAACAAAATTAAGGTTTTAGCCTTTTGTTATATTCATAGGTCAAGGACGTATGCAAAAAATGCACATCTAGACTGTTTTTATAAAATGTAATGTTTTCAAACCACAGACAAACTGACTTACAATGTTATTCTGGTCTTTGTAGGAGATCTTCAATAAGTCCATGGCTTTGATCATACTCTGCATTGCCATCATTATATTCTGGTACACCAATTTGATAAAACCTTTCTTATCATCATCTGAATAACCTGCACCATGAATGATCCGCATCTGTTTAATGAAGGTGCTCTTACCAGATTCTCCTGTTCCTGTATTTAAAAAAATGTATACAAAGAACCTTATAACTAACTGCAAGAAAAGCTTTAGAAATACCATAAAAAGTACAATAAAAATAATTTTTACAAGCCTATGATAAGCATACAACCATTAACACAACAAAAAATATATTTTTATACCAGTTAGCTTTGCATTTATCCAATTACAGCAGCCAGAAAACATTTATTGACAATTTCACAATATTTCCCACACTTGACTGACCAAACTATTACCCATCATGGATTGGATGGTACATTTAAGCCAAAACAGAAATAGAGGGGACATTTTACTGGGAAAATCTAAATGTATTAAGTTTTAAACACTGTTATTTTCAGAACTTTATTATATATTTTGGGTATTCTTAAATTCTCTTTTGAATCAACTGTTAGAGTGCTCCACATAATTTTTTTTCTGTAACGAGCAATCACTCCCAGAATTCTGTGAAGAAGAGCAATTTTAAATTTGTTCACAAAGTATAGCAGCTACATTGTGATAAAAAAAGTATTTTAACTAATTATGAAATATTTTATTATTTCAAGCAGTGAAATGTGGCACAAGATTAGTTTAGCAAATTAATCACCAGATGTAGTCATAATAAACACAAATAATGACATTACAACTTTTTTTATAGGTCTATTAAAGCATAAAGGTGCATGTTTTTCTTTCACTTAGGTTAAAGTAGGCTAAAAAAGTACTTTAAAAAATAGAAGTTAAGGGTTTGTACACAAAATATATAGGCCTATACAGTATAAGGTGCATGTTTCCATACAGTGCATGCTTTTTCTTTTATTGATAACCTGAGCACTCTTAGCAATAAAACAACTTCTCAATATTTTTAAGGCTGCAAATGGCTAATTTATGGTCAGTAATTATGCTGGCACTCTCTTTATCTGGAGTACTGTGTTACTTAATACATATATACCATTTGTACTTATGGTTAAATAAAAGTGCAGCACATGATGACACACCAACACATTTCCTTTCATCTCAAGGGTCTTTCAAATTTGATGACGAGGAACCCACTTTGAGACTAATAATGCTTGGAGACGGCTTGAATGGGTAATGAAGAAAAACTTTAATATAAGTTTAACAT